CCTCCAGGAGGATTGAGGGATGTCCAGAGCATTATCAGCGACTACTTTGGAGACCAAGACCCCAGAGTGCGCACTGCAGCCCTCAAAGCCATGGTAGGAAAACCCTGCAAACCCCCCCTGCACTGCAACCAGCACTACACTCATGTGTTTAGGAACCACGCACATTGAGCTTTAAGGAAAACAACTCACTCTGTTTTCAGGTTTCAATAACTCTGCTTGCTCTCTGTGCTGTTGTTTGTTTTCCAGCTGCAGCTGCACGAGAGAGGGATGAAGATTCATCAGATTATTTATGATCAGGTACGAGCAGAATACGTCCTCACAGCTTACTGCACTCCCACTGTAGCTTTAGATGTTTAATCCAACCTTCTGTATGTATTCTTGTGTGTTTGCAGGCCTGCAGGCTGCTCACAGATGACTACGAGCAGGTCCGTTCTGCAGCAGTGCAGATGGTTTGGGTGCTGAGTCAGCTGTACCCAGAGAGGTGAGGAGACCTGGATTCTCATACTCAGGTTCAGTCAGTGTAGCTGTTGAGTTTGTTCCGCTCTCTGGATCAGAAACCACGACTGATGTCTGAGAAGATAAATCCTACTTGCTGTCTGTCTGTCTCTGCTGAAGTGCAGAAACCTTCATGAAACTTCCAGGTGTGACGACTTTATATTTAGCCCAAGGCTACTTATGTTCTCGAAAGAAGAAGTAAAAATAAAACAAAACAGAAAGCTGCCATCTTTTCTGTTCAACAGATAATTCCAGCAGTGTTGTTAGGTCCAAACCCTTTAAAAACATCATTTACAGCTAAAAGATGAATAATAGAATTAGAATAGAATAGAATTCAACTTTATTGTCATTGTACATGCACAGGTACAGGGCAACGAAATGCAGTTTGCATCCATCCAGAAGTGCTTTAGTGATATAGATATATTACAATATATATTAGCAATAATATAGATGTGTAAGTATGTTACAGATAATAAAGTAAAAGTCCCTTAACCTTCAGTATATGTGTTATTCTTTCCAGTGGTAGGTTTGATTATGGTTTATCCAGAACATTTACTCTGACTTGTTCACAAAACAGTATTGTTGGAAAAACTGCCGTTCATAAATGTTTGTTTTTTTTATTTTCATGTTCCTTCTGGATTCAAACTTTGCTTGTAAGCAACATTTCTCCAGTTTTTCTGATTTGTAGCTTGTTGATATTTCCGTCCAATCAGCATCGTACCCATCCCATCATCCAATGAGGAGATCCGGCTGGTTGATGACGCATTCGGTAAGATCAGTCACATGGTCAGCGATGGTTCCTGGATGGTTCGGGTGCAGGCCGCGAAAACATTGGTGAGTAAACAGAAAGTCTTCCATGACGACAACAACATCATCGGCAATTAAATCAGACACAAACCTAGAAGAAGTCCTCACATGAAGAATCCACAGGTGTCCTCATATCACTGTAGAAACGATGTAATGCAGCACTGAGGATGGCTCACCCACCACTCAGGAATCTTACCTAATCCACATATTTACAGTCTTTGTTGAGTTTGCTCTCATTAAGTGGGAAAATGCCTGCAGATTAATGATGGGAAAGAATCTGTGTGTGTGAGGCAAATGGTGTTAAAGTGAAGCTTTTATGTTCTCGTGTGTCAGGGTTCGATGCTGCAGGTCAGTCCTCACTTCCTGGAGCAAACTTTGGATAAGAAGCTGATGTCAGACCTCAGGGTGAGTTAATTCTTTTATCTGACAGTCTGTAGCAAAGCGATGTTGATCGGCACAGCTCCGCTCACTCTCCTTTATTCCTCTTTTCCATCCAGAGGAAGCGCACAGCCCACGAACGAGCCAAGGAGCTCTTTGCTTCCGGAGAGTTCTCCTCTGGCAGGAAGTGGGCCGACGACGCCCCGAAGGAGAAACTGGACACGAACACAGTCAACCTCATCGCCTCGGGGGCTTGCGGAGCATTCGTCCACGGCCTGGAGGATGAGATGTTTGGTAAAGGAAACCCAGCAGAGTTTTGGATGACGCGGTCACTGAGTTCAGGCTGCTACAGCTAAATGTTCTCAGAAATGTCTCAGGAGG